CTAAACAGTAAACTCCCAGTTTGAGCTGATTGTCTTTCAGTTAGTGATGGTTTTTTAAGTAACCTTAGTTATATAAACTGTACAGTTGTGATTAGTAACTTTAGGCTTGGATTTGGGCTGCTTGTGTGTTGCTTATGTGCTCGCGCATTTGGTAGTTCCTTGAGAGTAGGGACACTGCAATTCCATTTTAACTTGCAGCCCTGGCTGTTATTGTTTTTAACTTGCAGTCCACAATTGATAGTTCTGCAGTTGACTAATCACAACCATAATGTTACTAAAGTGATAAATACATTTTTTTAACAATTTACACTTTTCACTTTGTTCAGGTGGGAGGTCCTAGCTAGAGGTAGCATGATGCTCGATCGTGTCGACGAAGAAGAGGACCAAAGGTGTCACTGATGCTATTTTGTTTTGGATAGATTCGAGACCTTAGGATAAAATAGCTTTGTGGTCACATGGTAAGAAATTGGAAAATAGATTTATCTTACTGATTTTTTTGTGGTATAGACTTTTCTTTTTGCAGTAGCCTTTGCTACTATATAGCTATTTACACCATACTATTTCTTTCATGCAGAGAACTCATAACAGAAGTGATGCAGCAAGTGAAGGTCACAATCTGCATGCGAGGCCATAAAGAAGTTGTGCTCAGATTGTAGATCAGATTGATGAGGATCTTGATTGTGAATCAACTTCTTATGTGACAATGAAGGTATTGTAGCATGTCTTATATCAACTTGTCTTTGTTTATTTTTTTCATCTGTGGTTAGTTAGGTGCTGCTCTTGTACTGTGCTGACTGCTCTACTGTACATAAGTGAACAAATACACTATTATGCTTAGTTAGGTGTTGCTCTAATGAATAAAATTTGTTCACACTATTGCTCATACAATGTAGAGGTCATTGTATTTCTGTTATCCTCAAAGCCAATGTTTGTAGAATGTTGCTGATTGCACACCAATGTTGAGTTTCAGGAACTTCATGGTGGTGCCAGGCAGCAGCTTATCGACAACAAGGTGATCAAAGTGCTGATCCAGTGTTTGATTTGTTTTTGATTATCTGGAGATAGCTTTATTGTTTTGGAGGCAAACAATCCAAATATGTAGCTAGGATGTGTATGATTGATGGCCATCATGAGCTACTGATGTTGTTATGTGGCTACATGAATTGAATGAAAGCTTTTATAGCTAATGAGGTCGCTTCCTTCATAATGGACTATGTTGTAATGATGTACTTTTGTGAATTATGACTTGTGATGATATTCTAAATAATGGTCTTGTATTTGTGGATGTATATATGTATATTTGTGGCGGTCAGATTCAAATTTGAATTATATATATATATATATATGTGTGATCAGATTTAAATTTGAATTATTTATTTTTTTTGCTGAAAAATCCACTGTAGGGGCAGTTCTTGATTGAACCGCCCTTACAGATACACACAGTAGGGGCGGCTTGTGATACAGCCACCCTTACAGAAGTCCACTACAGGGGCGGCTGATATTACCAGCCACCCCTACAGAGGGCACAATAGGGGCGGCTGAAAACACCAGCCGCCCCTACAGAGGGCACTGCAGGGGCTGTTAGGAAATCGTCCCTACAGAGGCACCCTCTGTAGCAACACCTTGGGAAGGGCGGCTGGCGCAGCCACCCCTACAGTTAACTTTTGTAGTAGTGATTAAAATCTAACTCATTAGCACAGTGCATCTTTCTCTTCACTGAACCGCACCCAAAACACCCTTCCGTCTCTCTCTTTGTCCCTCTCACATGCCGGTATTTGGGCTGCATCTCGTGGGGGCGAACTGGACCTAGTGGAGGCAGAGGTGGAAATGGTCGTGCATCAGTAGGTGCGTGACTGACTGCCATCTGTGAGCTTTTGTACTTTCTAAGATCTGATTTGTTGCTGCCTAGTTCTTGTATGGTGAGACTCAAAAAGAAAAAGAAGAAGAAGAGTTTCTTGTATGGCGTATGACCAGGTGTGTTTCAAGGCAGGTAATCATGACGAACACCGCAACTACAGTGTGTGTGTGTGTGTGGGGGGTGTGGGGGGGGGTACAGTGTGTGTGTGTGTGTGGGGGGGGGGCGAAGTAGGCCCTAGTGTGCCGTTAGTTACTTTCACTCGTGGAGATAATAACCTATTATCACCGTCGGTAAATATAAAATCTGTAGTAGTGTGTGAATTTGACTCATGTTATTAATTTATTATCGCAGACATTGTGCTAGGGACAGACAAACTGCCCGCCTACAAAAATTATGTTTGCCTACTTAGAAAATGGATTTCCTAGTACCATCAAATCACACATATCAACAGAACACACCCAAAGTTTAAACTTATTACAAGGTTCCAAACTAGAGTTTGAGACGGTATACAAATGGCAATCCATTTAATGAATTTTTTTTCATCGCCCTCATTTCAAGCAATTTGCACGACTCTAGAATCCCATCTTTGCAATAATCCAGCGCTACAATTAAGTGAAGAGCTGCAGCCAGTTTGTTCCTTTGAAAAGAATGTGCACTAGTGATTTTGAGTGATAGAAAGGTTTCAGCTTCAATACCTTTTGTTGAAGAGTCATCGGTTCACAATTATTCAAAGCACACTATAAGTTCACATGAACCATGTTTAACACTAAACACCAATATGAAAATGGTAGTGCTAGCGCACGGATGTCCGGACGGACACCCACGTCCAGATGCTTGCACCTAGACGTCCGGACGCCTACGCCTACACTCCATTTCCAGCGCGTGCCTGCACTCTGCGCTAGCACCAGCATGCCTGCGCCTCACGCTTGCGTTTTCACGCTCCCACGCGGGGCCCGCGTCACCAGACCATGTGCGGGGACCGCTTGAGTCCCCCTCCACTTCTCACGTAGCTGCAGTATGTGGCTGTGGCAGGTGCGCCCATTGCATCATGTGCAACATCCGGTTTACTTTTGAAACATCCAGATGGAACATTTGCATCATACGGCTGAAAGATAGATGAAACACTTAAATCATATGTCTGAAACACTTCCAAAAACACCTGAAAACACTTAAAAAGCTATTGCAAAACATATGCAACATCCACATGAATCACATGCAACATATGTGTGAAAACATATGGGGGGTGTTCGCTGGACTGAAGAAACCAGCCAGCCGGCTGGTTTCCCCTCACATGGCACTATTCATCCATTCAGCCAAACAGTATTTCTCTCTCACACAACCAGCCAGTTTCAGCCAAGATTCTGCCAGCCGAACGGGACCATGGAACATCCATATAAATACACTTGCAACATACATCTGAAAAAAACAGATAAAACATTTGGAACAGACGCTTGTAACATAAGTGCATAGCCAATGCAACATATGCAACATCCCGGTCTACTTTTGCAACATCCATACAAAACACTTGAAACATGCCTTCGAAACATCTAAAATAATTGAAACATATACACTTGCAACTTGTGCTTTCAGCGCAACAACTCCTTGTTGCTTGGGAGAATGGAGGTTCATCGGCATATGGAGTTCACCGGAGGCGGCCGTGACGTCGCCACCATGGACCAGATCGATTTTGCCTACAGCGAGGCTGACGCGGACCCCCTTCAAGGTGGCTGATATACTGACCTCCATGCTGGACACGTAGCCCCGCAGCCGGCGCCACCACCGGATCTCTCGCCGGCCGTAGTGGATCTGGTGGAAGGAAGGCTGATTGGAGGCCCAAGCAGGTTGCGGTGCACGCTACAGGCATGGTCGCGGACATGATTGGGCACAGCATGGTTGCCAGTGGTGAAGGCGGCAGCAGCAAGGCGGAGTGCGGCATGGGGTGTGCGGTCTACGGCACATCTGAGCGGCGCAGGCGGGTCAGTTCGTTCGGCTGGACAGACGTCCTGAGGATAGCATTACCGACATGAAAAACAATATGCATCCTTGGAAAGTAAAGAACTCGGTTAATCTTGTCTCTAGAAGCTGCCATAATCCAATTTATTTTAACTCAGCACAACAAAAAACAGAAGTAGAGCTAATGTGTGTATAAATAATAGAGTAAAGTCCACTAGCGGTCCTCGAACATGGTGGGCTGTGTCATCCCGGTCCATAAACTCGTAAATCGACCGTTTAGGCCCTCAAACTTGTTCATCCGTGTCATCCCGGCCCCTATACTCACAAATCGCTTGTTTAGCTCCTCAAACTTGTTCGACTGTATTATTTAGGTCCCTAAATATGCAAATCACCCATTTAGGTCATCAAACTTGTTCAGTTGTGTCATCCCGTCCATAAATATTGTAAACTTATAATTCAATATATATTTATAGAACTGTCCAAAAATTGTAAATCTAATTTTGTTAGACTCCTGGTAACTTGTACTTTAAATTAGAGTAAAAGAAATCACCATATACTTTCTATTCTTAATTCTATAGTTAAATGACTAAATAGTCACGTATATTTTTAAAAATCCTAAAAATGTATGTGCCTATTTAGTTATTGAACTATAGAGTTGAAAGAGTGAAATACACTGGCGGTCCTTTAACTTGTCGGCCTGTGCGATTCACGAACTTGTAAACGCAGAAAATAGACCCCTAAACTTATCAAGTTGTTCACCGCAGACCCATTTTCCATCCGGCGCGGCCTCCAGCGACGTGGCAGCGCCAGCGTGGCGTGCGAAGTCATCGCACGGACGCCACAACGCGGCACAGTCGCCGCACGGACCATGGATCACCTCGTCACGTACGCGACGAGCTCGTCCAGGTCCCGCCTAGATGACCCGCCCTGGTCCATGGCGCCGCGGACGGCCTCCCCGAGCGCGGTCGCCCGCTGCCGGATCTCGGCGCTTTCCTCCAAGGCCATAACCCTATTGATGGCGTCGCAGATCGCGGCCGTGGGGGTCACGTCGTGGCGCCGCTCCCAGGGGCGCACGAGCACGCCGCCGCAGAGGTCTCTGATTCAATGTAGACACGAAGCTGCTGTCCTATGGCCGGGCGAGCGGGTGCCACAGCTGTAGCCGTAGGACAGACATGCGGGTGCCGTCGCCATGGGCCGAACGGGTGCAGCCGCCTCTGCTTTGAGCCGAAGGGGTGCGACCGCCACCATGGATCCGGCCGCCAGCGCCATGTCGCGGACGCCGCCGCAACCTGCGCCGAACTCGGCCATGGATGTTGTCGCCACCGGTGTGTGCCGCGCGAGGCCTCGAGCGCCGGGCCGAGGATGCTGTGCGGGGTTGCTTGCCGCGGGCGCAGGAGCTGCCGGCCGTGGCACGCGAGGCGCAGGCGTAGGGTAGCCTCCGTCGCGGGCCTGGCCGTAGCCGGCCACCAACGGCCGGGCAAGCACACGGGCCAGGTTGTGTGCAGGCACCGTGGCCACATCGGGCACGCGGGCACTGCCGATTTCGGCCTGGGCAGGGGCCATGGCTATGGCTTATGGCTGCGTTCGTGTGCATGCCTCGGGCCGACGAGCGCATGGCCGCATACAGGTGCGAACTGCCGCCACCCGCAGACAATCGGACACCACGACGCCGCGGCGTCCATTGCCGTAGAGAGGTAAGAACACAACAAATTGAACAAATTCACATGTGCTTACAACTTTGGTTTGTCGAGAACTTCAGGTGCTCTTGCTTGCATCTTTCTTCAACCAATAATGCAAGCGTCCATCTTTTTCTTCATTCGGATTGCTGTTCTCCCAGGCTTACAGGCTGCACGGCCACAAATTCGTAGACTTGCAGAGGAACGACGAAGGAGATACGCCAGTCTTGTAGTGAATCAGAGGCCGATTCCGCCGGTCTTGCAGTGAATCAGAGGCCAGCTCGCGCACCTGCTCTAGCCGCAGCGACGACGTCGTGCCGAACGAGACGTACAGCACCGACGACGACGGCTGCGTGTCGAGCCAGTCCAGGCACTCGTGCCGCGCGCGAGCTCCCGCTGCCAGTCCCACTGCTCGCGCCGGTGCCGGGGAGGAGCACCGGGCTGAGAGGCCCGACGGCGAACAGCCTGCGGCCGTCGGAAGACGGGATCCCCTGGAGCGTGTCGAGGAAGTCGCCCTTGAGCACGCGACAGGTGTTGACGACCATGCCGGCAGTGGGCATGCGCCGGCGCTCCTGCCCCATCCGCCTGGCGAGCACGACGAACTCCAGGGTGGCGCAGGCATCAGGCGGGTGGAACACGAGGCCGTGGCGGCGCAGCAGGGCGTGCTCCCGGTCCGCCCACCCGACGTTGTAGGAGGCGGCGAGGCAGTGCACGCCGAGGATGTTGTCGTGGAGGACAACGACGCGGCGGTGGGTCGCGGCGAGCTCCGCCAGCAGTGCGGCCAGCGGGGCCCGCGCGCCGGCGCTGTAGGCCTCGAAGAGCGGCTGCACGTGCACCGGGAAAGGGGAGCGCAGGTCCGGGGCGGGGGACTCGTGCGCGGGCACATCCAGCGCGGCCTCCTAGAGGTGTGGCTCCGGCGCCGTGAAGTGGACGGGGAGCCCCCGCGCGGCGAGGAGCAGGGACAGGTGTAGCAGCTGGTTCACGTGCTTCGTCCGCCACGCTGGCGCTGCCACGTCGCCTGGAGGACGCGCCAGATGCGAAATGGGCCTGCGGTGAACAACTTGACAAGTTCAGGGGACTATTTTCCGCGTTTGCAAGTTCGTGGACCAGACTAACACAGGACGACAAGTTAAAGGGCCTCTAGTGTATTTCACTCGAGTTGAAAATAGAAAATACATGGTGATTTCTTTTATTCTAATTTAAAGTACATTTTACCATGAGTCTAACAAAATTAGATTTATAATTTTTGCACAGTTCTATAAATATATATTGAATTTACAAGTTTATAATATTTAGTTACCGGGATGACACAGCTGAATAAGTTTGAGGACCTAAACGGCTGATTTGCAAGTTTAAGGACCTAGATGATATAGCCGAACAAGTTTGAGGATCTAAACAAGCGATTTGAGAGTTTAGGGACCAGGATGACACGTATGAACAAGTTTGATGACTTGAACGGTTGATTTGTGAGTTTAGGAACTGGGATGACACAGCCGAACAAGTTCGAAGACCGCCCGCCAATGCACTTTATTCTAAATAATACCTACAAGAAAGTTTTCGGTTAGCATTTCTTAAACACTGAGTCATGTCTTGCGTGCGAAATGACCCCACACATGGACGAAGCCGTGTCAGTAAAAACAGATGGTCCAATCCAAAGAGGCCATTGAGCAAACAATTAACATACAACCAAGCAAGCAAGGCATCAAAAGTCAAGAACAAATCAGCGATGGGCTTCAGTTATGAGCCTAGTATTGATCGGAGATATCGCTTTGTTTGGTTCCCCTCTGACTTGAAAACTCCAACAATCACACAATCCAAAAAGAACACCAATCATCAAACACTGTAAAAACTGCAAGAATTGGTGTTTTGGGTGCGGTAAACTGGTGTCGGTGAATTTTTGCCTAGCCCTAACAGAGACCGGAACTGAAATTTGTACATATCTCATCAAAATAAAAAAAAATAAAAAAACTGAGCTTGGTGTCAGTGTTTCGCCCACGAGGCCCAAGTTGGGTCCTCTGGTCTATGGGCAGGCGCAGCACATGTTTTTTTTCTGACAAGTTAAGGCTGGACAGATTAGGCCCACTGCCTCTTTACAGCACCTGAGGTTTCTCTGTTTCCTGTAAGTGTATGAAGCTGTACAAGCAAAGCTGATGTACCCTTGTAGGTTTTATATCCAATAATATATAGATCGATGCTGGTAGCGCCGGATGTCTGGACTTTGCATGCGCCCGGACGCAGCTTCCAGCTGTTCAATTCAAACGAGCTAAACTCTCATGTCCCGCATCTTTCTCCATGGAAGCTGTACCCTCCACGCACCTTCCTCCCGCAATATAGGAGCATGCGCCGCGATGCTGCGCACTCGTCCCACGACACGACCCTGTCCTCGCTGCGTTCAGTCCTCACCGCCGCGGGCCGCGCGTTCCCTGCTTTGCTCCTGCTCGCGCCCACCTTCTCGACAGACCCGCAAATTTTTGAGTGTTGCAAAATAAACTGACATGGCTAGCGCTAGGTAGACGAGGCTTGGCTTCAGCTCATCTGTGCTCCAGGCCTCTTCTTCCTCCGCGACTCCGCCTAGGTACTGCTCCGGCCATGTCAGTTGCGTTCATCGGCAGGGGCAGCGCTAGCCAGTGCCCAGTGGTCTGGCGACGGCGCAGGCCGCTTGCCGTCGAGCCGTCTCAGCGAGAGACCGGGGGCACGATTATTTTTTGACCTTAGACAAGCACCGGAGAAAGTGTCAGCCTATCAGGAGTTATCGCCAGAGACGTAGCATGCTCGGATGCTCCGTATACGTAGATCGACTGTTCCAATTTTGCCATGCTAAGGATCGAGCGGTCATCCTTTTACTGGTGACGTGGCCCAATGATAAGCTAGTTCAGCTTGGCTCTGATTTCGATATGTAGAGATATGCATGTCTTTTCAACGCTAGTTGAAACACAATATATTATCTGAGGGTAACTACAGACAATAAAAGCTCTGCCATTCTAAATGCTTACAGATATAAATTATATTCAATCAATCTGCAATATTGCAATAATAAGATGTAGTAGTAATTAATTAATACAATACTAAGCCCACCTGATATCGATGGGACTGAAATTTACTACAATTTATGCGGCCCATGTTGCTGCCCATGGTCTGTGACCCCGGCCCCATGTGCAGGCCGTACAGATTAGGCCCATAGTTTGCGCAATGAACTTGTGTTTCTCTCTCTATTTCCTGCATGTACATTACAGAATGGCAAAAACTTTATGACCAGTTGGTGTTAATAAAACGGAACCTCGAACACCAGCACCACACAATAATTCTCCACCACCTAAAACAATATGGGCCTGTATTGACTTGTATACGTAGCACCTCGTAAAGTTACTGTATACACATTAAACAACGCCATGTTGATGTCCTCATGTACTAAGTTTTATATATATCCAATAAAAGAAAAGCAGCCACTTTACGTCCATTTGCTCTTTTTAAAATATCGTGTTGCCTTACGCAAAGACTGACACCATGCAAGTCTCCACAGGTAGAACTCGCATCATTAGTCATGATGCAGGGGTTACTGGCGCACTAGTTTAGAGGTGTGTATCTTTGGTCTTCCAAGAATTGCAGTTAATGGTAAAGAAGGCGCACGAGTCATTGAGAGTGCCCACTAGAGGTTGCTTTTGCTAGCACCATAATTTGTTTTATCAAAATCCTACGGCATGTGGTCTCATTATTTCTCTGTCGCTCTTGGCACGGCCTAGTGGGCTTGCGTGTGTGCGCATCTTTACCTTTTTTTATTTTCGTTCATGAAATTTGACTGCAGGAAAGCGAAAGGAACCAACTTGTAAATGAAAAACAAAGGCTTGCTTTAGCATTTATATTTGTACAACAAAGCCCCGTGATTAGGTTTGAAATTTGTGGCAATAATGCTTAACCGCGCACGCCCCAAAGCTAGGACTCACCATCCATCATACGTTTTGTTTATCTACATAGTTGCCACAATAGAATTATTACACAAAAGACATCACTAATGTTTGCAACAACTGCTGCTTCTATATTTGTTCAGCACTCACTTAATTACCAAGAGCATATTAGTGGTTGTTAATTAAGAAAGGCGTGTGCTTTTGCATCATTAGAGCTAAAGGTTTAGCAACAAGGCTCTTTCCCGTGGAATTCGGCATACATTACAGCCTTCGGAGCTGATATAGTTGGTGACCTATGTTCATGTATATGACTTAGTATTGTACATGTAAAGGTTGATCGGATAAAAAAGTATACCTCTTGATGAAGTACTCCATGCCACGCAATATGTAAACACTAAGGGCTCCATTGGAACACTACGGGATTGGAAAAACACAGGAATAGGAAAAACGTAGGAATATGATAGGATTGCATGTGTAAAACTGAGGATTGGAAAACACAGGAAATTTGCAGTAGTTGTTGTTTGGATGGGCACAATAAATTTGTAGGAATAGCAACCATAGGAAATTTCTATAATCCTCTCATGTTACTTTAACCAACTAGTATAACAAGATACTTTATTTGAGCAAAGAAAAATAGCATAGAGGCCTTGTTTAGATTGCAACTTTTTTCAACCCGATGAATAGTACCACTTTCGTCTTATTTGACAAATATTGTCCAATCGTGGACCAACTAGGCTCAAAAGATTCATCTCGTGATTTCCAACTAAACTGTGTAATTAGTTATTTTTTTTACCTACATTTAATGCTCCATGCATGCGTCCAAAAATTGATGTGATGGAGAGAGAGTGAAAAAACTTGGAATTTGGAGGTAATCTAAACAAGGACAGAGTAACTTAAGTGGACCAGCAACTTGTCGATCTTATCTGCTACCCATGAACCCACCCCGGTTGTTTCCATCCACTCATTTCAGGCAAGCTAGGTTTCTCTCTGTCATGCATCGCTTCCGTGCAGGAGTCTGCCAGTGTGATCTCGAGCGGAGAGCCGCCGGTAGCGCCAGCTCCAGCGAGGACGGCCGTGGCAACGCAGCAGGAGCAGAGAGCCGCCAGTGCAGGACGCTGGCCACACAGTTTGGAGCTACGGGAGGGCAGCAGCAGTACGAGAGCTGCTATAGTTCTCACAAGTCATTCACTCATTTGCGCGCGCGCGTCTACCTTGACTGTACCGGTCAAATGTAAGACGATAGGCCGATACAAACTAAATATAGGACAGGAGGCATCCATTCTTACCATCAGTAGGTATTTATTCTCATCGTTCAGTCTATTGTCATGCTGAATGTTTAAAACAATCGCGAGATGCTGAGACGCCACATGAGACATAGAGATTGTTCAAATACTACCGACGGCTTACAGCAGGTAGTCATACACTGGGGTGCTAGGTGTTCAAATTGTACATATTTTTACGTAAAACTGTCCTGGGATAGAGCACCAAGGAGGCAGTCTCTAAGGCGACACACTACAACATGCTGCATGTAGCAAAAGTCACAGAAGCACATGACCAGGCACACATCTTAAGCAGAGTGGCATCAGCTTCTGAGGCAGTGAGGCTCCTTTGATCTTGAAGCCACTAATGAAGTTTCCAGCTTCAATCCGACCCAAAGCTGCGGGCTGGGGAGCAATCTGTTTAAATCCCCAAAATAAAGGTCAACGCTTGCTACGTCAGTGCAAGCATGGTCTAAGAACTATGTAGTTGCAGTCGGTGCTATACCTCTAATGCTCTGCAGGTAGACTAAAAACTACTTTTTTTTCCTCTGGAAACAACTCTTGGAGGATCACTGAACCCCGGTGCAGAACTAAAAAAGCTCATGCTTCTGTAATCATAGTCACTTGTAAAATTTTCCTTATAGCCTGTAGATCCATACCTTCAATTCAATGAAGATGAAGAAAATCCATCTAGCTATTAGCTCCCAACTTGCAAAATCAAAACAAAGAAAAAAGGTAACATTAGTTTTCTTTGGTGTGCCTAAACTTAATTGAAGAAGGACCAGAGGTAATTCATCTTCAGTCTAGAAT